CAACGCACAGGAGTTGCTGGCACTTTGCGGCGGGCGGATGTCCTTGAGGATTGAACTGCTTTGGAATAGCATGATTTGGGTTTGAGAGCTTTTAGGCAACTATTATTAATGTCGGGTCCGAACGAACCACCAAAGTCTTTCCACATAGCCTTAAAGGGGTTGGGTGTTGGGTTTGCAGTTTTGGGGGTTGTGGCCTGGGGGCATCCTGTCTTCAGTTCCTGAATCCCTGAAGCGCACGGCTCAGGATGACGGGTAACTCGATGCCTTTCATGTCGGGTCCGTATCCCTGCAAGTGTCTCCAGGGTGATGATCACGTTGAGCCGGGCAGGGACGTATTCCCGATCTTTCAGGAGCTGCGCCACGGTTCGAGGCATTGGTATATCCCATCGGGCCAATATACACAACAGACGGGGTCATCGAAGGACAGCATCGAAGTCTGCATGTTTTCCAAGACAAAAGTCAACATTGGCATCCATTTCCCCATGCTACTGGGCAGTCGGGGTATGTGGAAATCCAAATTCATGTGGCCAAGGTGCTTAACATGCCGCAAAACGAACCGCCCAGTTACATAAAACCCCAAAGCCTCATGATCCGCAGGCCACAATTGACAATACAACTCCAAAGTTGCTTTTTAGCATGGCACCTGAGACTCTAAGCCCAGGGCACAGAAGCCCTAATACTCTAGCCCCTGCACCCTAAAACCCAATCCAGTTCCAACAAGCTCTCGAACTTTTGTGCAGTTGCCACCAGTCACCGAAGCCTGTCCTGTGGGGATGGCTTAGGAGCTTCAAGGCTAAGCATCGTACTTGAGCTTTGGCTGCTGGTGTCATCTGTATATGTATGTGCATATACAACTACATGTGTATGTATGTAGTTTCGTATGTGTAAGTATAAGAAAGACCAAGAGAGAGATAGAGAGAGGGATCTATATTATGTGTATATATATATATATATACATATACACGCATGCACGCACACACACACACACACATATATATATATATATATACACATGTATACGCATAGGTACACACATAGCATATAGAGACAGATACACTGTGATGGCCGTAATGCTGCTTGGGACTTCAGAAAGCTGTTGAATGATCTCTGTCATGCAGGACGGTGTTGCAACTGTCCCAGCAGCTCCTCCAGCGAATCCAGCTTCTGCACAGCCTCGGCTTCGTGCATCGCGCCACCTTGCGTTGTTAGCTTTGGGGATTTAGGCCCCAGGGTTTAGGGCTTGGGGTTCAAGCCAGTCTCAACGAGACTTCAGGGTTTTTGGCTGCTTGTGATTTATATAGGTGGTGCAGAGGCTGAAGACTGTTCGGGAGCCACTTGTGGTGTGTTTTGTTGTGTGCAGTTTGTGACTCAGAACGAGGAGCTCCACGTCAATAGCGAGACTGTGGCAGGAGAATCCAGTTTCTGTCATTCTAGCTCTTCTGGTATGCTGGATGTTTGAGCAATATATGTTTGACCTTAGCTCAGGGAGGAGATGATTCTGGCTATCATACTGCGGGGAACAAGTATCGCTGAGCTCTTGGACTCGTAGCATGCAGACTAGACTAGACTTGGCAATGTGGCAGGGAGCGATGAGCAATTTCAACTGAGGACATCAAGGCCGAGAATTTCCTGATTGGATGGAAGAGCACCTGGACTCATGATCACTACACGAAGGCTGCAAGAAGATGCGCAGAGGGAGAAGCTAGTTGAAGTCTTGGTGAGTTCCGGAGCATGCAGCCAGAGCAATAGCAGCTGGTGAGTGAGTATAGCAGGCAATATGTTAGGACTTCAGGTATTTAGACACCAGTTTTCAGGACATTACATGTTTGCCTAGCACTATCCCCAGCCAACGCCAAGCTCAGGTGCTTTCGTTTGCTCTGCACGCCAGTTCTTGTCCTGAAATGAAAGGAGATGCTTATAATAGCTCAAATTCGGAGCCCTCAACAGTCCAGAACCCAAGGGCGTGACACCCTTAGCACGTGCACCGCGCGGGTTGAACAAGGCACGCATGCTTACGGGCCAGGGCCCACACTAGACCCCAGCTTGAGCACCCGTGAGTTTGGATGATGGCACGGAGCCAAAACGATGATGGAGTTCTTCTTGACCAGCAGTGCTGGTCAGCCCGGCCCCTGCGCTAGGATGCCTCGGGCAGATCTGATCCTAGAACCCAAATCCAAACCCCGAAACCTTCAAGCCCTGGTCCCAAACCCCAAACCCTAAAACCCTACCTGTACATCTAAACCCCACGCCGCACGAGCCGAGGTAATCGGAGAGTCCTTTATGCCATTGACCTGGGCCTCGCGCGGCCCTGGCGCGCGGAGTCAGGTCGAAGCGGTTTGGGGGCTTAGGGCTTGCAGGGTTCCTTCCAGGGGGGTTCTATAATGGCTACTATATAGGGTTCATGCAAGGGTTTGTGAGTTCTAGAATGCGTTATATACTACAAGGTGTACTTGAGTATTTGGGGTTTTGGCAGCTTTCGTGTTTTGGGCGTTCAGGTTGACAGAGTTTGGGGATTGTGGATTCTAGGTTTGCTGACGTGTGAGCTTGTTGTGTGCAGCTTGGGTTAATCTGCGTCAAATCTCGGACTCGGACCTCTTCTTCTCTGTCAGAAGCTGCAGCTTCGCATCGCGACAGGGATAAGCTGGCCAGGCTTTGTCCCGCTATTCATGACGATCTCGGAGCACTACCGTATGGGTAGCGACGGACACAAACCGAGTCTATGGATATCTGTGCAGCAATGGTTTGTGCGGCCCGAGAAATCGAAAACATCCGTGCAGGTGAAATGTGATGTTTCAGAGCGACGAACATCACAACTGGAAAAAAGCAGGAGTTTCCAGACTAGAGGTGTTTACGCATTTATTACCGTTCTGCGATCTCCTTCTAGTCGTGCTGGTACCCTCAAACTCCATAGTAGTTCCTTTTTGGGGGTTCATATACGGTCAGAATTTTAAAACATGTGGGGGGCGGGCAACCCAAGATCCAAACAGAGGTAGTATGAGACACATGTTTTAATCCGTATGTTTTAGCTCCGGGTGTTTACTTCCAGCCCTCCAGCCTTCCAGCCTTCCAGCCCTCCAGCCTTCCAACCCTCCAAGCCGTCCAGCCCTCCAGCCGTCCAGCCTTCCAGCCCTCCAGTTTCCAGCCTTCCAGCCCTCCAGCCTTCCCAGCCTCCAGCCTTCCAACCTTCAGCCTTCCAGCCTTCCAGCCTTCCAGCCTTGCAGCCTTCCAGCCCTCCAGCCTTCCAGCCTTCCAGCCTTCCAGCCCTCCAGCCTTCCAGCCTTCCAGGCTCCCCAATCTTCCGCCCTCCTGCCTTCCAGCCTTCCAGCCCTCCAGCCCTCCAGCCTTCCAGCTTTCCAGCCTTCCAGCCTTCCAGCCTTCCAGCCTTCCAGCCTTCCAGCCTTTCAGCCTTCCAGCCTTCCAGCCTTCAGCCTTCCAGCCTTCCAGCCTTCCAGCCTTCCAGCCTTCCAGCCTTCCAGCCCCAGCCTTCCAGCCTTCCAGCCGTCCAGCCCTCCAGCCTTCCAGCCTTCCAGCCTTCCAGCCTTCCAGCCTTCCAGCCTTCAGCCCTCCGGCCTTCCAGCCTTCCAGCCCTCCAGCCTTCCAGCCTTCCAGCCCGTCATTCTCAGGCATATTTTGCAAGGTAAGGGGCACTTGCGCAGTGTGGCGCTGCGAATGAAGTGGAGGCGGATGAGGAGCGCTCTGCATGCACGTGAGCTGTTGTTGCAGCACGCTGGAGCTTGCATGCTGTGGACCATCTTAGCTGGAAGGCTGGATGGAGGCGCTGGAAGGGTGGAAGGCTGGAGGGGCTGGAGGGGCTGAAACTGGAAGGCTGGAAGGCTGCTGGAAGGCTGGAAGGTTGGAAGGCTGGCTGGATGGCAGGAGGGGTTGGAAGGCTGGAAGGCTGGAGGGCTGAAGGGCTGGGAAGAGGGCTGGAGAGGCGAAGGTTGGAGGACGGAGTCTGCGGGCTGGAGTCTCGTGTTGTTGTCTTTCCGTGTGTTTTAAAATTGGGCGGCCCAGAGACAATGCCCACGGAAGTAGTATGACACACCTGTTTAACTTGTTTAGATGTCCGGGTATTTAAAAATCATCGCCGTATAGAATCCTATAAGGCAATGCCAAAAAGGAACTACTATGGAGCCTTAGGGTAGGCTGCAATATACCCCAAAACTAGTCCAATGCTGATACCCCCGCCGTTACCTGCAGGTGCCCATGTTCCTTACAAGGACGGCAAGAAGCTGGTGGCCTGTCAAAACCATGTGGGAGGAACGAAGACTGGGTGAGGGTGTGCTGGACTTTTGGATGTCGGTCCATGATTGATTTTGATCGAGGCATACTATACTTGATAGTGGATCACTGTATGGTGTTGCATTGAATCTGTTTTAAATCTTGAATTTTAACCACTATACTCCTTTGTGTTTCACTGTATGATGCTGTAATGCTTCTGTTGTAAACCTAAATTTAAACCCTGTGGGCGGTTCGCGAGGTCTTCACTGCAAGCTGGCCAAGTTTTCAAGCGTGTTGGTTGATCGTTGAGGGCACCGTGTGCCGGACCTGAGCAATCCAAGAAAATGCTACTGCAATACGATTTAGGTGCTTTCAGCCCCTTTTCTAGACTTGTGGTCCTGCTGAGGTCTCCGGCCCGTGATGTTCCAGAAGCCCTGAACCATCCTGAACCCTAAGCCCTAAGCCTGCCACTGCCGCTCAGTGCTTGCAGCATCTTGCAGCTACAAATGCCGAAACGGAGGACAAGCTTTGGTGTTCGAGTTTACAGCTCGGTGTCTACTCATGCATGGAGTCTCCAAAGCATGTCTCGGAGCCTCGACAAACCCGCCCTCGAACTACGGGAGCCATTCACTCCAACCCAACTTGGAGTACCGAGCCATGGCCTTGTATGGGAAAGCCATAAAAGTTACAGTGACAGCAAGTCGGAACCCTAAACCCCAAACCCGGCTCTCATCGATGGTGGACTCTTGAGCGCCGCATCTGCATCCGCCTAGCAACTGATGGATGAGCTTCTCAAGCAGTTCGACGCCTTGCTGCAGATCGGAGTTTCCGAAAATAGGGGACACGAAGATAGTACCCTAAATAGTAGGCTCGGTGTTGTTAGGACCCCAAAATGAGGCACCCCTAATTTGCGGAAACTCCCAGTTGTCTCGAGGTGTACCGTTGTAGTTCCTTTTTGGGGTTACCTTTTAGGATCCTTCATATAAAATTGGTTAAACCAAAAGAAGGAACTACAATGGAGACTAAAGGCAGAGTCTAGAGGTCCCCCAAAGACCCACCCACCCAGGATTCTGCCAACGTCTCGAATCCTCGCTGCCCTCGTTAAACCCAATATGCCGCGTGTCCATGAACTAGAAACAGAAGCACCCAACAACTCCAAGGAGAGCGGCTGCTTCGACGACCAGGTCGCCATCCAACGAAGGTGCGCAGCATGTACGATTCCGTTCTCTTGCTGTTTCAGGGTGTGAGGATTGACAGGTCTGAAGGAGCTTCACAAAGTCCGGGACCTTGATGGTAGTTTCCGAAAATTAGGAGTACCTTTTTGGTGGGTCCTTATACTAAGGATCCTTATTATTTAGGCTTTGGGGCGTGGTGTTTGGGCTTCTTTGTGGAGTTGGGGTTCTGCAGGTTTTTCTTTGTACAGGTCGTCATGCAGGGTTTGAGGGCTTTGCACTTTAGAGATTTATGGCTAGGACATCATGTGTTTCCAGTCCACAGTTTGGTGTTAGGGTTGTCGCTTGACGGCTGAGAAGGAATAGTAAGACGTTTCAAAAAGGAGTTATTAGCAGGAGCCATTGCAGACTAAAAGCGTGGCTTTTCTTCAAGTCTACCTATAGTCTCCATTGTAGTTCCTTTTTGGGGGTTACCTTTTGGGATACTTAATACAAACTGGTTAAACCGAAGAGAGGACCTGATTACAATGGAGACTATAGGTCAACACCCAAAGTCCCAAAGCTGAGAACTTCAGCAGCAGCAGCAGTAGCCCTAAACCCCTAAACCCCTAAACCCTAAAGCCTGCTTCTGTAGGGAGTCCAGGGCCTAGGGCTTTCGAAACTCGAAGCGCTCTGGGATTTGCCTGCACCCGCTGGAAGACTCTTCGCTGTGGGGGTTTGAGGGTTTAGGTAGAACGTCGGAGGCTTCAGGTGAGATAAACGGGGTTGTTATTCTGAATCTCTGCCTGCGATCCAGTGCAGCGTGCAACCCGAAACGCTCTACTCAGACTGTTTTCTGCCTGTTGCGGTGTACTGTGCTGAAGACAGCTGCGCTGAAGATTTGTGAAGCACCTCACGTGCACACGCGGCTCCTTGCTTCTAGTGGTTCTTGCTCTTAGATCCACTTTTGACAGCACCTGTTCCTCTTGCTGTTCTTGTGTCGGATCGGAACTCGCCATGGCCATGCCGTCATTATGTACTTTTTCTTACGTAGACAGACTGTCGCCTCACAGGATCTTGTGTTACAGTAGGGGTTTGTGAATAAGCTTGACTTTTGGCTGTGGCACATCCAAGCCCTGTGTGCTACTTTTAAACCTATGATTTGTCCAGTCCCAGCCATGCTTGAATGTTGTGTTTTGTCTTCGGTTTCTGTGCTTCTTGAGCTGACTGAATTGACTTGGCATGGTACGTTCACACTCTTCGTAATTTACGCCCTCAACTCCAGACCATGGGCTGTTGAAATATATCATGCACGAGGCGCTTGGCCTGGAAACACCGGCCAGAGCGAATCGTGCTTCTTCGCCATGGGCAGAGCGAGGGTGCCGTGGCAGCAGGCGAAGGCGTCGAGCGCAAAGATGGTGGCTTCAGGATTCGGGCAAGGAAGGAATGTCAAAGAGTTCCGGGAGGACAGCGTGGGCAAGATCTGAAACGAGACAGGGCTGTCGGCTTTTATGTTGAAGCAGGGTTCCTGCACACGCTACTTGTAGAGGTGTGTAGAGTGTTTAGTCGAAGTCCCAGTTCAGGGTGTTAACTTTCAAGCCCTACATTCTGTCGCGCCAAAGATCGGATCGGTGCTCAAGAAGAGCCTCTAGTCTTGGACCCTGTTGGCTTAAATACACGCTCAAGACTTCAAGGCAATGTGGACAAGATGCTCTATACGAGCAAGGGAGACAGCAGACTTGAGCTGACCAGGGAGGGCATCTGCCAGGCCAAAGAAGCAGGTGCGCGGAGAAATTAGGGTTTTGGACATACGTGATCCCAGAAGAGACATGTCAGGGATGCACAAGGCCATGCACAGCCCTGAACTATACAGCGCGGGCACACCTTTTGCTTATCCCATTTATGCCTGGAAGAGCACCAAGGGTGGGTTTATGTTTGCACGCTTCAGGGTTCAGGGCATCTCCTAGTTTTGGGTTGTCTTCGTTGTGGGTTTCCATGTTCTGCTTCTGTTCACTGACATTGGATGGGAAGGAACCGCCCGCGATGACATAAATGTGGACCCAAAAGCCACAGGTTCCCGACTGAAGCAGATAGCGCCCAAGAGCCGCAACATCATCGTTTGCAGCTTGATTCGCACAGATGTGGGCGGTAAGGCATCTTGTGTGCTCTTCTCATTCCAAACCTGCCAGTACTAGCAGCTCCTGTGCTGCAGAATCCCGGACGGCTCTCAAGCTCGCATCACGAACTTACGGAAACGCAAGGTATTGCGGGAAAGCTCTTAAGCAAACGATGTATCGTGTATGCGAGCATCAACGCCTACAGAACTGACAAGCCCTTCTGGCAAATTGAAGCTTCAGCCACCTGCCGCACCAAGCCTACAAAGCAGTGAACCTAAAGCCTTCATCGATCTATCGATCTGAGGCACTTCGCCTTTCGAACGGGCCATGCAAACGCTGCTGGGGCTTTATGAAGGTGGCTTCCCACGGGACCGGGTGCGTATCCACATCGACCCACAGATCCGGGAGCAGGAGCTCGGGATTCAAAAAGGGCTCAAGGCTTGCATGGTAAGGTTTAAGACTTAGTAGCTGAGTAGGTATCCTTTAACCTTTGGGGGTTTATAGAATCCTACTATGACTCAAAAGGTTAACCTTTTTTGGGCTAGGGTACTCAGCCCCTAAGAAGAATAAGAATCGATTTTAAGAACAATCCTCGAAACTCGGAAGTTCTCGAATCTCAAGGCCGAGTCTGCAAAACAAAAGCAAGCCCAGACACCTCAGATGATGAAAGCTAGCGTGAACATGTATTTACTGCGACCATGCTACTGATACTCTGGTTGCTTGAAACCTTAGTCCCTGCAACACCAAGTGCATCATCAGGCTTGTATACAGCATAGCCGCCTAGTCTCAAGTCTTTGGTCATTCCGTCTTCTGACTCTCGCTTGAACCCTAAGCCTTCAACCCTAAGCCGCTAACCTTGATCCCAAAGCCCTCAACCAGGAGTTTGGCAACTTCCAACCACCGGGGCTTACCGGAATGGTGCGTGCCGAGGACTTGTCGAACACAAGTTTGGGCCGGTTTCAGTTTTGCAGGCTTTGCAATAAACCCTAAACCCCTAAACCCCTAAACCCTAAACCCCTAAACTGAACCCTGTGTCCGAAGCCCTTGTAGAACATTATGCTTTGCAGAGCTTCGAGAAGGGCAGCCCTTGGGCTTCATACGGCTGAGGGAGGGGCACGGCAGTCTTCTCGATTGTTTGGTGCAAGATTGCACGAAAGTTTCCCTGAAATGCATAGTGTAGAATACTTCGTCCGCCCACCACGAGCACATGGAGCCATGATTTAAGATCTTTATCGCGACTGAGTGATTTAGAAATGCTTCCGCTCACAGTGGAGCGAAGAGCTTCGAAAACTCAGGAGGACCTCGTGGGCAGGACCTACTATCGGCGCCCCAATGCGGAAAGCTCGGCCGATGTCTTTGACCGAGTGAAGCAGCCACTTAGCTTCTTTCATTTAAGCCCTGCGGTTTGTAGTTTCGGTTTTTTGCTTGGGGCTAGGTCTCGCCAATACGTAAAGGAAATATATCGTCTGTGGTGATGCGTGGTTCCTCTCAGAACTGTCGTACAGATGTTTGGCATGGGTCTTGTTTCGCCAACTTCCGTTGAATTGCATATCTGAGACGAACATCTCACGAACAAGCGTGTTTGAAGCTCTTTAGATGAGACCAAGTGCACTGCTCAGAGGTTCTGGGACAAGCTCTTCGGAGAAAATGGCAACGGCCTTTTAGCCGGCGACAGCCGTACATACGAAGCTTGGCAGCTCTTGCCTGAGCCAGCCCTACATCGGAGATAGGGCTGTTTCTTCGGTTCTGGGTTTGCCTCAGAGTTTAGAGTTTACACGTATGCTTTGGGTTCAGGTGTCAATTCGTTTCATGGCCGTCGGCTGACGTAGCGTCGAGTCTTTTTGGTTTCCGGCGGATGTAGAATTGTTTCGGGGATGTTGTCAAGATCGCAAAGGACATCGCGCCTGCGACTTCCGCAGCTTTGTTGACCATGGTTGATTGCAGCGATGTCCTGCGTATGAGGAGACATGTGCCGGCTTGGTGGCCCAGTTTTCAAGGAAGGACCCCTGTAATAAAGACTATAGACCCCAAAACCTCAGCCCAAACCTACGCTGCCATCTTCTCGGGACAGTCACGGGGATATGATTGCAAGTCCTTTGGACCGTTACTTTAGTTTAAACGTGTAAGGCCGTATACATCCCAAAACCTTTACCCGCAATAACGACCCCAAGCCCCTCCACTCGAAAGGCCTGAAGCGCTGAAGACCTCAAACCCGAAACCCGTACGTGATGCAGCCCGGCGCCAAGGACATGTGCTTGGTGGTAACGCACGGGCTTACAATCCGACTGATGCTCATGTGCCTCTTCAACTGGTCCGTCGCAACCTTCGAATCTGTTTGGAGCTTCGATCAGCTTTTAAATTCATTCAGCGAAAGATCGCTCTTTGTTCGGGCTGGAGTGGTGTGTTTGCACGACCCAGATCAGATTCTTTTCTCGGACCGCCCCTGGCAAGAAGCCCTAGTATTATGAGCTCTGAACATTTTTGTAAAGGGTTACTCTGACTTCTGGTGCTTCTGGGGACCTCATGACTTAAGCGTGGCAAGCGCAAGCCAGGAATCTCAGCTACTGTGAGCATGTGACGCTGAAGAAGAGTCTGAACCGCACTTCCCAGGGATTTTTCGGCCTGGGGGTCAGGGCTTCTTTTTAGGTTTTGGGCGCGTTAGAGGTCAGGGCTTTGGCGATTTCTGGGGTTTATCAGTTGGGGTTGGGGCCGAATTTGATTATTCGGGGTCGTTAAATTTCACAAGTCATTCCAAACATGTCTTCTGGAGAGTACAGCATGCCTCTAGAGTTGTATGTTGTTAAGTGACAGATGCCTTGGGGTTTGCTATGTTTCTTGTCCTGAAAGTTTGTGTCCCCAACTCCGCAACCTCCGATACCACGTGGGTGTTTTCCTCCACGGCCGGAGTGCTGTCGAAGGTTTTCCTGCGGACGAAAGGCAGATAATCCCTCCACGGGTTAGGACCAGCAGCTACATCAATAACATTAGAAATGTCACACACACGCACACACCCAGACCCAATGACAGACATACAGAGATGTGCAAGCGCGAACAGCTGCGAGACAGGCAGAGTCTGAGTTCAGCGCCACCTGCAGCCAAGGAACAGCGAGCAGTGCAGGTATGAGTTCTGCACGGAGGAATCTTTTCCGGCCCGCCTGCCCTGGGCCACGCGAAAGGTGTGGGTGGTTTTGCAGCTTGGACGGAGTCTCTGGTGTCAATTGTTTTTTTGGGAGGAACTGAAATCCTACACTTGCTGGGCCAAGGCTTGAGAGTAAGACTTTACCTTTGACTAGAAAAGCTCAAAACCTAGCGCTATTACTCCCTTGTAGCCTCTGTTATAATTTCAGTATACTATGTGTAGTTATATTTCATAATATACCCTGAGAACTTCTACCGTAACAAATAGGCCCAAGTATGGCTACTGTACGGGGTGCTAGATTTGTAAGCACCTTACTGGGCTGGCCTGTCACGATGGACCAGCTTGGCAACCGAGGAAGAACACGCCGGCACCCAAGCGAATGATCTGGAAGCTGGAGAAGACCCTCCACCTACTTAAAGGATCATGGGACTTAGTAACTAGGGTTATAGTTAGGATAACTATACTTATAACCCAAATTAGGGTACTTATAACCTTACTTACTAAGTCCCATGAGCCTTCAAGTAGGCTTGAGCGTTCTGCGGCTTCCAGGGTTCGGGCTCATTGTTTTCAGACTTCTACCCTTTGCAGGCCAGAGGCAGGGCGAGCTTCGCAGGGTTTAGGTTTCAGGCTTTTCTTGTTGTTGTTTTTGGGTTGGAGCATACATGATACATTTCTTTGACGCTTTATGGCAGTAGTTTTTAGTTTTTTAAAGCCTCTAAACCTTTCCCCTAAGCCCAGAAACCCTAAACCCCTAAACCCTAAACCCTAAACCCCTAAATCCCCAAACCCAAGTACCCTGAACCCTAAACCCTAAATCCCCAAACCCTTGTACCCTGAACCAAGGATCCGGGAAGCTCGTAGGATTCTCGGCGGTGCTCTGGATGCTGGGGCATCTTCGGCTCAAGTCTGGGAGATCTCTGCGAAAATTGAGAGCTTTAGGCGTTAGGTTTTGGGGCATGGAGATTTTTAGGGGTCTAAATATAACAGTATGTGTATAGTGAAAAACTCGAGGAAAAACACTGGATTCCTCGAAAATACGCGCCGCCACGGCGTACCAGTCTCCAGTATAAAGGGTGGTAAAGTTTCGTTAGGCTTGAGGGCTTAAGACGAAAGCAAGTTGGGGCCTTTTGTGGTGCCTTGGCGCTGAAGGTGCCACCATTCGACTTTATGGGGTTCCTTCTAATCAGAGAGTACCCTAATAAGACATATGGTGGACAGTAGTCGTTGATAACTCTGCAGGTTGTAGTTTCCTGGTCTCAGTTGGCTTTGGCGTAGGAGGTTTGTGGCTCTACCTCAAACCCGACATCTTCAAGCCCGTAGCTCCTAGTAGCTGAGGACCCCGATGAGCACGAGGGGCACGAAGAGTTCGATGCCGATGCCAAGGAAGGGCTTCGGATTGGGGGGGGTGTAAGGGTTAGGGCTTTAGGCTTCAAGGTTTCAAGTGCTTGGCTTGCTGAGGTGGTCGGGTTTTTGCCTCCGAAATTGCTAGTTAGGACGAGCATCAGAAAATTAGAAATCGTTGACCGTTGAGGCCAAAGAGCAGCTGAGTTTGTAAGACCCGGTTGAAGTTCGGACATGCTTTTCTAGGTTGGATGTTGGGACAGTCTTTGTTTTCCTTATTTGTATTTATAAGGGCCCTATATATAAATATTTTTTCAGGTGTTTAAAGGCCAACCCAGTTTAGGCAAGAGAAAACAAAAGAGTGGCGCTGTGCTTGGTCGCCGGGCTGGATATACACACCCATGACGGGACAATCGTCACAATGCCGCCCTTGTCGGTGGCACTTCTGCACGTCTTTTTGGCCATGCTCGTCCGGTTGTAAAGACTGACCCAGGGCGAAAAGTTGTAGCTTCCTTCCTCAAGCGAGTTTGAGGCTGGTCAGCTGCACCCCAGTTCCGCAACATGTCGGAATAAGCGCGAGGTTTCAGCCCTGTGCTCTTACACACTGTTGTATATAGCCTGGTCGGTATTCCATCAGGACAGTTGGACTCAACTATTCTCATAGCTGAGTTTCACCTTGTTGGGGCCTCCCTCTTCCTAAGGCCATTTGCCCGAATGCTTAGCAAGTACCCTACCTCAACTGGCACCAAACCCTATACTTCTGCCAAATGGGAGTTTCCGGAAATTAGGGGTACCTTACTTTTGAATCCTTATAGTAAGGAGCCCACGATTTAGGGTACTATCTCAGGGCCCCCTGTTTTCGGAAACTCCCAAATCTAGGAGGCCCAAGAACCCCAAGTCCCCAACCCCCCTTTGAAACCCACCCAGAAAACCCCAAGTCCTCCAGCCAGGACGATGCCATGCTGGATCGCTTTGACAAGTTCTTGGACGCCCAGTGTCTTGACCACCAAAGATTCGGGACGGGGTGTGGGCCCAGATAAGTTGACATATCGTCCTAGAAGTTGTTAAAGCACGAAGTCTGGGGGTACTAAACCTTTGTACGGCATGGGGACCCTGGGTGGTTTGGGAGTCCACATGAAGGCTTCTCATGTTCATGGGTTTGGGGTGTGCTCGACTGTTGCTCCGGGCCAGTTGATGGTTTGGAGTGTCCTGACTGGCTCCTCTTGTGAAGGAGTCACGGTAGGTAACTTTAGAAGGAGGGGATGCTTCTAATATATATATATATATATATATATATATATACATATGTATGTATGTATGTATGTATGTCTGGGAAACCGACCCAGGATCCTGATTGTTACGGAACCCTAGATTCCTAAGCCCGCACTGGACACCCCAGATTCCGGAGCCCCAGAGACCCCTTAAGAGCCCTAAATCCCTGAGCCGTCAAACCCCAAAGCCCTGCAGCGTTGAGGCCTAGGGCTCAGGGCCAACCTTGGCCCAAATAACTTCCCAGAGAGCCCAATACCCCGTAAATGAGGAATAAAGCTTAAATCATAAGATGAAGCCCTGTATAGTTGAAGCAATATTCCTTAATTAAGGGTATTGGGCTCTCTGGGTTACCATTTTCAGGATTCGCAGAAAGAAATCATAAGGGTAGGTTTTATAGGAGGAAGACCCTGAACCGAAACCCTCAAACATCAGCGCAGAGACTTACAAATTCCCGCTGCGCCTACTTGCTGAAGACAGTTCTGTTGTGTCAGTACTACTTAGACCTTGAGGGCAGGGCTTTAAGTGCTTCCATTGGATTCTAGGCAGATATCTACTGAGTCTAGTGATCTTTTAGGCAAGGCTCCTTCGACATGAGAGTTCTCCTCGTGCTCAGGGTGTAATGTCGCCTAGCATCCTACCGTACAGCCAGGAAGTGCGGCATCACAGGAGCCTTGCCAAGCTGCCATATTACATTGCCAGCTGGGGCCCAAGACAGACCCGAACCCTAGTCCGTATTATAGAAGCCTGAATGATTACAACATGACCCCTCAGGGTTCGCACTATCAATATATAGTATGCTACCCCCCGAAACCCTCTACCACTCACTAAGGTTCCCCACATGATAAGCCCTGAGCTCTACACCGCCCAGGCAGAACCCTAAACCTTTAAGCAAAAGCCTACAACCCTAAACTTGAAATCCTGAACCCTATGAAAGCCTTCAACCCCAACCATCGCCCAGGCAGAACAAGATCCTCAGAGCCAGGTCTCTTCCCTTCACGGCCCCTCGTCACAGCATCTATGATACCTAGACTGTCGGAGCATCTGGTACGGCTGTCCTCTCATAGCTCCCATGTAAATGACCCTTTGATAAATGCCAAAGCCCGATCCCCTACATTAAAGGTGGGCTTTGAACCCGAATCCGCTGCAGGCTGCTCTGCTGCGTGTTACAGTTCAAAAACAATCTGTGGGCCCCTGGAGAGGCCCGGATAATACCCCTTCTGCAGCTAAACTTAGAATTTCACTGCATCCCAAATTCTGCATCCGGGACGTCAACACCTGATATGATGGTTGCACGAGTTCTTGTCACGGTAAAGCACACGCAGAAATGTACTCGATACATTTACGTCCCTATGCCCCTATGCTCGACGAAGACTTATAGCTTAGGTGATCAACTACTTGGAGATACCTCAGCCGCGGACGATGCACATCGAAGCTGTCCTGTCGAGGTGTCCTGGACTTTGGGGTTAGGGGGTTTGAGGGTTTGGTGGTTTTGACATTATTGCATTTTTGGGATTCTGGGGTCTTGGAGTAATTATTAATTACCCTAAACCCTAAACCCTAAACCCTAAAACCCTAAACCCTAAAACCCTAAACCCTAATTATAATTGCTCAGTTTGAGGATTTTCGGCCTCGGGGCTTTCATTTTTGATTTCGTGCCGGCACTTTCCAGCGAGCTTAGCTTGACCGAGTTCACCAGGCTTGTAACGGAGGCCGATTAAGAGAACTTACTAGGTAGGGCTTTGGGACTTTTTATATTTTCCCTTATTGGGCTTAAGAGGATCTTATTTACTAATATTTTTCAAAGGCCTTAGAAGCCCCACCTAGCTCACGTTTGCCGAGGAGCCTTGCAAGTGCGCCTGCAGAGTCCAGAACCCAAACCCCCGGGAGGATCTAGAAAGTAGATCCCCTAATTTGGGGCCCTATACTACTAAGGGTACTTTATAGGAACCCCCATTAAGGGATCTACTTTTTGGATCCTCCCAGGGGTCTGGGAAGGAGTGAAATTCACACAGAGGCAGATATATATATATATATATACACACACACACACACACAGAGACAGAGACACCGAAATGTCTTACCAATGCCAGGGCTAGCCGTCCCACCTAGACTCCGCAAGGAATCAAGGAGAGTGGAATCTGGACCACCAACAACAGTCATTCGACGTCTTTGCTGAACCATAAACTTCCAAGCCAAAGCTTCCAGGTGGCAGGACATTGCAGGATCCGGGTTTCTGAAGCTCCTGCCGTCCAGGTTGGTCCCCGGCCACAACCACAGCGACAGCGGCACCGTGCCCCTGAAGAGGGCAGCGTGGCTGATTCCGGGGGCCCTGTTTCCTTCTGTATCGGCACGACCAACAGCAAGAAGTATGGTTGCGGCACTGACAATTGCCAGACAGTTCTTCCTGCCATGCAACAAACTGAAGAACCAAGCAATGAAATCTCACAGTAGTGGTGATCTTTGGGTAGTTGGGTAATTACAGCGGCGATGACGCCAGTGTTTTGGACTCAGGGTTTCAGGGTCTTCCGGGCGTCTTACTCCAGTCTCCAACACCTCATCCACAAGCCCTGAGCCCCAAGTGCTACAATATCGCAGAATAAGTCTTCGACACAGTTGCTCTCTTTTGGGCTGAAGCTTGCATGCTTAGACTTAGCACAAATTGCCACCAAAAACTTGCTGAAGAGCCGAGGGCTATGTACGATGGCGGTGCTGGGGTTTCGGGATTGGGGTTTGAGTTCGGGCTGCAGGGTGATGGGACCCAGATGGTCCTCGGGGTAACCTATAGTCTCCATTGCAGTTCCTTTCTTGGGCCACCCTGTCGGATCCTTAACCCAGATTACTTTAGACAATAAGAGAAAATTTCAGTGGAGAATATATGGGGCTTTCCGAAGATTCGGGGTACCTTATTTTGGGGTCCTTATGATAAGGACCCTATTAATTTAGGGTGCTATATTAGGGCCCCCTATTTTCGGAAACCGAAACTTCAAAGTCTGTTCAAGGCAAAGCTGGAAGAGCTGGCGGCGAAAGGGCCTGCGCTCACCAAGGAGCAGGTGGGGCCCTCGAAGGAGTCGGAGTTATTCTCCCAGGTCCTGCTGTAGATCGCAGTGGTGCCCAGTAATCTCAGGCCTCCCTACTACCACCCTAGTAGTGGAGTAGGTAACCTTTAACCTTTCCTGGGTAGTATAGTCCCTATATAATCTCTATATCACCAAAGCGGTTAAGCTTTAGTTCCCCATGATACCCCACAAGTAGGCAACTGAATAGTCGGCGAAGCCTCATGACTGAAGGGAGACTGGGTAACTTAGCATCACCAAGTGTTTGAGCGAGGGTTTCGTCCCGACGTGGGGATGCACATCGTGGGTTGGTAGACTTTGGACATACAAGCCCAAGCTTCACTCCGAAAAACCGTGGGCATTCGCATCGATGAACTGTCAGTCACCTGGTTTTGTGCGTCAAACCTTTACAGCATGATGGCATGATGGCTCTGCTATGCCACTATGCATCCGCCACGACTGGTCCAACAAGCTAGACCGTAAAGCGAGAGAAAGCAAGCCCTGTCGAATAACCTTCATCCAGTTTCAGTCCGAGCTTAATTACACACATCCGGAACATGTAGAAATCTCGAAGCGGACTCCTCGTAGGTGGAGTTCATCGACTGGTGGGGGAGCAAGCTCAGCTACGAGGGGAAGATGTTGCGTTGCAACCGCAGTGGCACAATTCATCAGGATGACGATCCGAGAAGAGGAGCTAGCAAGCTGTGACGACGTCTTCGACAGGAAAACATCGATGACGAGGCGAGTTGTTCAGAAAGTCCAGCTCTCCTCTCGAACATAGCGGCCCAGAAATTACCTGTGCTGTTTTGGGGCTTCCTTATTATAGTATAATGGACCCCAAAACCCTATAATTGGGTTCGCGAGTCTCAAGTTTCAGTCTTCACGCCCGTCCAAATTCTAAACTCAGTGAAGGAACCTGATGGACGCCTGTGGATTATCCCCGACATCACCAAGCACATCAACACGGAGTTTGCTGAACTGCAGTCACCGGCGCACGAGGGCATTCTGCTGAACGCCTGAGACCCTGAGAAGCCGCGCCAGGGCTACAGCGCAGAGATCCGTTGTGGTCAACACAGCCGATGGCTCCAATTCGCTACTTTTTCGAGGGTCATACCTTGCAGTTCAGTGGACAGAACCTGCCCTGCTGGAGGCTTTGGGGTTACAGGAGTAGCTAGAAATCTTCAGGCGCGACCAGCAGGTCTGATGTCTTATGATGCAGACTTGATTTGCAAGAGGGTTTTGCAATGATCGTTATAATGCTAGGCATCAGGCCAGCGCAACAGTTATGCAGCGCAGAAGTAGGCAGACGTAGGCGGCATCCTCCAACAGATACTTGCAAGAACATAGACATAGCAGTGCGACCGGTATTTGTAGTTCTATCCGTTTTCGCCCCAAGCAGAACAGAATTCAATCCTGAGCCTTCAACCCAAAGCCTGAAACGCCAACCCAGCACGTCTGTCCGTTGAAAGCCATCCATACTTCAGCAGCGGCTGCCTTCAAAACTTCTGAGCATCTCTAGGCATTAACCCAGAAGGGAGTTGTATGAAACACTGGACACTACAGATGATTACAAGGACCCTCCCGCCGCCTCCCCGAAGAGGCTCCCCTCCCTGAACTGCCCATAAAGCCGGACCAGGGATTTTTAAAGTCGTCTGCCACAAGCCCACGAGTACCATCCCCTCGTTTGTAAGCAGACTTTAGGATGAAGGCTTTAGGATTTGGGTTCGGTTTTCGGGGGTTCGGGGACTGCTTGGGGTAATTATGGGGATCTCAGACCTCAAGCTGTATCGGTATGGAGCCGGCTGCCACAGCGGAAATCTGCGGAGCGGAGCGGAACTGCGACCAATGCAGAAACGTGATCAAAATCAGCTTAGAAGTCTGTGTTTTAGCGTTGCATCGGTGAGGCTTTGTGGTTGTAAGTTGCAAGGCTTACTTATACTTTGCAAACCCCCGAAAGCCCTCAACCCTAAAGCTGCTGGAACTAGTGAACCTCGCCAAGGCATGTCCGAGAGTGAGTGCTGAAAGCTCGAGGGTTGCTGAGAGCGGATCTGTTTGTTTTGACGGTTTAGGGTTTAGGGCGGGCATATACAAGTCTGCCCTAAACCCTAAACCCTAACCCCTGAACCCTAAACCCTTCAGCTTGCTTCTGGCTGCACTCTGAGCTTCAGGCTCCCCACAAGCGTTTGAAGAGTTTCCAAGTTGCCTTGCGATTAGAGTCCCACGGTTTAGGGTTTGTGGGTTTAGGGTTGCCCATTCCATTCTGGCTGTTAGGCACTGTGGGTGTCTTGGGGCTCAGTTCGGGGCATTGGATTGATGAAGGGCTTAAGTGCATGGATTTGGCTTGCTGCCCGCGGCGGCGTTCGATGTCACATGACTGGCATGCCTGACCTAGAAAGAGCAGACTACACCCGAAAGCCCTCTTCGACTAAATTCGACCCCTACCAAGTGTGTTGCCCCGCCACCTTGCTCCCGGTTCACGTTCCCCCGCTTCACGCCCCAACTTGAGAGTAGAAGGCTAGGCTAAACCGTCACTTTCTGGAGCGAGCTGAAGAAAACTGCCGACAGCCCACAACTTTGATGCTGGAACCCTAGTCTTTCGATCCTTTGTGCTAGGCCCTATTCTTTCCTAGGTGGCAATTTGGGAAACTTCTTAATTTCCCTTATGGTTCCTATAGAGCTACCTATTCAAAAAATAGTTTTCAGAGCCCCAAAACTACAACCCAGTTTCGCAAACAGCCCCACCAGGCGGTTGGAACCCACCGGAGATGAGAGGGGGCTCGGGGGGTTCTGGTGAGTTGTGGGAAGTAACCGGGCTTTTCGGAAGCAAACTCCAGCTAAGCCGTCTGAGCCCGATAGCCGCCGAATGCAGCCCCCATGAACACCCGAACCTGATTCATACTTTGCTCGAAAGTCCTCTTTCGAGATCTAGGTGGGTACAGCAAGATTTTCGTCAGTGACCTCGCACTTGGGTGTTGCACAAAGCCGCCGCGACGATATGGAAGCCCTCGGCTACCTGCTCCTTGGGCACGTATTAAGCCTGGGGCGGTTGAGGGCTTTCGGCTAAGCTCTTGTTAGCGAGGCCATTATTGCCATCATGTTGAGCACATGTGCGGTGACGATGGCGGAACAATCCGGTGACCACCGACGACACAATGACAATGGACGACGACTCGACCATAACAAGGAACCTGTTGACGACAACGCCAAAGACGTGGACGTCATCATCGTCGCAGTTCTCACCGCATGTTCATGTTACCATCATCTGCATGAATGCCGACATCATCGGAATGTTGGTCTCATCCTGCTTGTCGCATCCTTGACGACCACGGTGATGATGAAGATCTAAGGCATCTTTGTCTACCCCACAGCCGACCAAAAAGCAGGTCACTTCAGAGTTACGAATTCAGGTTGAGACGAGCGAAGGGTGTTTCGAAGCAAGCTGGAAGCATTCCTGCTGCTTTGAAGGTCATCCATCAGATGTCACAACAACATAAGGCTTCACAGCCCAAAACCCTGCAAACCCCATAAGCGCTTTAAGCTCTACCAAACCCTATATGAACCCTATAGCTCTGGAGCCCGAAACCCTAAACCCTAAAGCTCATCAAAGCCCGGCAGCCCCAAAACCCCAAAACCACCAAAACCCTGAACCCCAAGCATCAAAATCCTAAACCCCAAAAATCTTTAAACCCCAAAATCCGAAAACCCCAAAATCCTAAACCCGAAGAACCCAAAATCCTAAAACCCCACTACCCCCTTTAACCCCCGAGGTTGCTCTACTTGCGACGTGGTAGCTGTAGTAGTAGCAGCAGCAGGAGTAGTAGTAGTAGTAGTAGTAGTAGTAGTAGTAGTAGTAGTAGTAGTAGTAGTAGTAGTAGTAGGAGTAGCAGTAGCAGTAGCAGTAGCAGCAGTAGTAGTAGTAGTAGTAGTAGTAGTAGTAGTAGTAGTAGTAGTAGTAGTGGTAGTAGTAGTAGTAGTAGTAGTAGTAGTAGTAGTTCTAGTTCTAGTTCTAGTTCTAGTTCTGTTGATGGACAAAATCCTGCATGACCCATTCTAAGGAATATACCATAGTTCCCATAGTTTAGAGTCCTTAGGGTCATGCAGGATTTTGTCCATCAACAGTAGTAGTAGTCGTCGTAGTCGTCCCTAAACCCTAAACCCTAAACCCTTAATCCCGAGGTTGCTCTACTTGCGACGTGGAAGACTGCCATGGCAGGGACTGGGCACGGCGACGGAAGAGGCGAAATACGACGCTTTGACTGAAAGTTTCGGGTGTTTGTAAGGTCTAGGGGTTTAGGGTTTAGGGGTTTAAGAGGCCTGGATGCAAAAGGGTTTAGGGGTTTAGGGGTTTAAGGGTTTAGGGTTCTTATAAGGTCAGTGTAGGGTTCTGTAATAGGGCTCTGTAAGGGCAGGAAAAGGTTCTGTAACACGGTCCCCCTGAAGGCCTCTTTGAGGGTTCCTTTACCTTAGGGGTGTAGGGTTGATGCTTTGAAGGAGCTTAGGCGTTGAGGGAGCTAATAGGATCTTGTTCTGCTCTAGAACGCCTGGCTTAGGCATTTAGGAGTTTGGGCCAGTAAAGGATTCAGGAGCTGTTGATTGTTTTGCTGGTATTTCTCAAAGCTCCTAGTAGTTCCGAACCGAGTGCCCCCTTACGCGATGCAAGGAGCGGATTCTCGATGCCAAGATGTCAGCGGCCCAGTCGTGAAATCCCGCCCAGTCGTGAAATCCCCGACGCAGCTCCAGAGATTGAACTGCCATTCCGATGCTTGCAGCGCGGCAAAACCCTAACCCCTGATCCCCCAACTATGTGGAGCCTTGCCTGCCTTGTGCGAGTGTGAGCGTCGGAACCCCCAACTAGATTCGGGCCAGCGTGTAAGAGACTGTGGCCAGTCCACAGCTTCGTGTCTCCCTTGATCCCAGGAACTTTTTGATTCCTTTTCGATAAATCGTCTGAGTCCGAGGTAAGGGTCAAAGAATCAGAGCAGGAATTCAGGGGTGAAAGTTTAAGGCTGGCTGCAGCAGAAATACGAAGGCTCCAGATGACGAGGATTGTGTGGACACTGAAAAATGTCCAGCTTATGGTCACAATGCGGTGTTCTCGACTGCCAGCGAATGCCAGGGAGGTACAGAGTATCATGCTAAGCACTACACAAAGAGGCCTTCTATCAAAGAGGAATAGGAGGGACCCTTAATGGGGACCCCTACCCTATAATGGGCGCAGCTACATAATGGGTACAAAATAGCTATACTATAGGGGTATATACCTAGGGGTCCTTACTAAGGGTCCCTCCTTTTACCCTTGGATTCTAGCAACAAAGCCACGGTTCGAGAGATCCCAAAGGCCCGCAGTGCTTGTAGGCTGCTCAACACACGAAGAAGAAGTCGTGACTCTGAGAGGGCGCACCCTCTATTAGACCCTAAATGCCCCTTATTTGGGACCATATGCCCCTATTTGAGGGTACAAGGAGGGTCCTGGTTGAGGAACCCGTGTAGAAAGCAAGATCCACATGCCTACCAGGACCTCGTGGCTCTCATTTTCGCGTTGCATGCAACACGAAGTCCAACTTCACGGAGTATTAACGAGGCTGTCGCTAGCCCGGATCCGTTCGAACTTCCCCCGCTTGGTAGCCGGGGCGGATCCCTTTCAATCGCCCCCGCTTGCTAGTCTACTGTAGGTCGATCACCCCGGCGGAGCTTTGCAAAGGGGAGCC